CCATATATATATATATATATATATATATATATATATATATATATATATATATATATATATATATATATATATATATATATTATTTATATATTATTTATATATATATATAGATATTTACAATATTCTATAAATTCTACCGAATGTTTGGCGTTAATATGTTTGTAGTTCGTTTTTACGATTTTTCTCATACTCATATATAGGGATTACTACTACCTAATTGACTAGAAGGCTTACGATGAATATACCGAGTGGTGCTATCAAATCTCATTTGGACTCAACACACTCAATCACTATAAGCCGTGAAATCCTCGACAGCAACATCAAAGTAATATACCAGAACACCAACTACACGCATCTTAAAATTGCAGAAGCAGTCCTAATTGACATCAATAGACCAAAAATAAATATACAACAAAAAATGACAACCTCACTCCCAACCAGGCGCTTAATCAGCAATGAAAACAAAAAAGTAATAAAAACTAGCATTGTAAATAATGACAAAGAAGAATATAATGCTATCGATGAAGAAAAGAAAACCAACGAAGATGAACCAGCCAATAAAGAAATCTGACACTTAATTTCCATCTAGGTTCAAGTCTAAATGGAAATACATTAATTCTCTTTTAAAAAGTAATACATCTCCTAATATTCCTCAATTATCTGTCAAGAATAATATTGTTGCTGATAGCTCCTCTATTTCTTATGAATTCAACAAATATTTTATCGAGAGTTTGTCATTGGCTGCTGATAATTTCAGTTCACCGACAAAATCAGCTGTTTTCAAATGCCAGCCTAATTCCTTTTATTTATATGACATTGGAGAAGTTGAAATTATAGATGCCGTTAGTAATATGAAGAACTCCAGATCATTGTCCGACGATGAGCTTAATAATTACATTATCAAAAAATGTATATATAATATTTCCAAACCTTTTTTGCACTTATTTAATCTATCATTTTATCAAGGAATCTTTCCTTCGGTCTTTAAAAATGCGCGAATTATTCCTATACGTAAAAAAGATGACAAAAACTTAGTATCAAATTATAGGCCTATATCTTTACTGTCCCCAATTTCCAAGATACACAAAAAGCTGATGCATACACGCATGCTTCGATTTATCACTGCTAATCAACTTATCTCTCCATGTCAATTTGGCTTTCGATCTGGTAGGACGACCGAACTTGCCAACCTTGAATTTGTTCGGAACACATTATCAAGTATTAATGATAAGTTCTTTACGTTAGGTGTGTTTATTGATCTTAGCAAGGCGTTTGATCTAATTGACCACTCATCGCTTTTATGAAAACTAGACATGTTAGGTTTTCAAGGTAAATTGCAGTCTTTTTTTAGGTCATATTTTCTCCACAGATACCAGGACGTTAGAGTTTAATAATGTCAATTCCAGCAAAATTTTGGTACCCAAAGGTGTCCCGCAAAGGTCATTACTTGGACCCTTGTTGTTTATTTTATTTATTAATGACTTGGCTTATATAAATTCTATATTTAAACTCATTCTCTATGCTGATGGTGCTAGTTTCTTTTATGCATCTAAGTCCCTAATCGACGACACTAATCTCTTAAACACTAATTTAAAAACTATTACTGTTTGGTTTGCTCAAAATGGATTAAAGGTTAACTATCAAAAATGTTTCTATATGTGTTTTGAACTTAAAATCCTTACTAATGTATTTGGGCCTCTGAATCTGTATATTAATGATCATCTGATAGAAAGAAGATTTAATGCTAAAATTTTAAGTTTCATTGTTGCTGATAATTTTTCGTGGGCTCAACATATTGATTCACTCACGTCAAAAATAAGCAAGACATTAGGATTGTTTTTCAAAATTAGATATAAACTAAATGTTTCTACTCTTTTACAATTGTACTACGCATTCATATTTCCTCATCTTACTTATTATAACATCATTTGGGGTCATTCTCCTAATACACATATATTAAAATTATATAAGCTACAAAAGAAATTCATCATACTTTTATTTTATTTGAAGCAAACTGATCACGGTG